AGCTAGAGCTAGAGCAAGAGTAAGATGTAGACCTAGATCTAGATCAAGAACTGAAGCTAGAGCTGCTACAGCTAAAGATACAGTATTGCTATTGCTATTGCTATTGCTATTAGCTGGTATAGTACGGTAGTTTATTTTCTGGCGGGCTCGGAATCTCACCAAGCAATCAGTTGCTTTTAGATAGATTTTATCGATTTATCGACTCGTTCGATCCGAATCCCTGCTTTAAACGACGAACAAAGCTTTTTAAAAAGCATCCCTGCCCGCATCATCAGCGAAGGTGAAAACATGTTGCTATCTACTACTACATCTACCGTACCGTAGTCGTCGCAAGACCAACCTCAGCTGTGAAAAGGTGCACCCCTCGCATCGAACGACTGGAACCAAATAAAGCAACCCATTGCTTTTTATTCCATCGCCTATTCCATCTATCTTCGATCGGTTCCACCAGAGTCCTTTTTGATTTCTTCGACCGTTGCAGAACACAATATCCGATATCCAAAAAATCCGTTCTACAAGCAGTGCTTCATCTTGCAATCGGCCACCATGGCGACGAAGAGACTGAGGCAGTTGCTTTCGATACAGATCTCGCGGTCTATTGTATCTAGGAGAGCAGCGGAGTTTCAGCCGGCTGAGTTCGCCAACCAAACCGTTTCCCTTTCACACAGAGCGTTTAGCGACGACAGGTCCGGTTCGTCGTCGGAGAAGCCACCCCCAAGGCCGCAGTCGCTGGGGAACGAGTGGCGGAAGCAGCAGCTCGACAAGCTCGAGAACCGTTTCCGGGGAAAGCTACTGGAAACCCGCACGATTGAGTCCGAGGAGGACCTGCAACCCATGTGGAAGGAAATGGAGGGGAGGGTGACAAGAAGGAAGGCTCGGACACTGGCGGACACGGGCGGCAAGAGCGGGAGGAGAAACATCAAGAAAACCGACGAGGATGTTTGGCTGCAAGAGGGGATGTACGGTACGGACGACAACAAGGACGCCTCAAAAAAGCAATAGGTGGATCGAAACCGATTCGATTGCGTTGAAGCCGATCTTCTCTGTGTGCGTTTGGGGTTACTTCGATTTGGGGCAACAATTCGTTTCTGAGGGACGGGAATACAATTCCATATTTCTGATCCTACTGTGGATTTCATCCAAACTAGAAGTATTGATATAGCTCCAATGATAGTTTTGTGTAAATTGGAAAACCGTCAGCTGAAACCATTTTTTCGGTAAAAATTCAAATGAATTAGAATAAAATCAAACCTCACGCCTTTCCGCCACAATGGAAGCATTATCGGCCTCCCAGAATGGATCTTCTCGATAATCGGTTGGTTCTTCCTCATTGAACCTCTCCGAATACTCGTTTCGTGTGTGTGATTTCGGGGCTCGAGGCTTTGATCGAGAATCGTACTTGTTGATTTCGGCGCGTGGTGAAGGCGTTTTATTAGAATGCGAACGTTTCTTCTCGCTTCGGATGACCGGGATCTCAGCAGTAGGTGTTCTCGCCTCGGCATCCCTGTCATTCGGATTGGAGGAGGAGTTTGACGGAGACCGTTCTTCTGTCTGTACCGGCGACGACGGCGAAAAGAGGTCCCGACGAATCTTGCTCGCACTCTCCGTGGCTGTGCGCATGCAGCGATCGTCCCTTCCAAGGCCGAGTCTCGTACCAATTTCTTCCGCCGTGCTGAAGCACCTAAGGGCCCCGACCAGGTCCTCCTCTTTCTCGAGCACCATGCCGACGTTGAGGAGCGAAACTGCCACAGTTCCGTGCACAGAACCGTACACGGCCGTTGTGATCGAAAGGGCTTCCGTGAACGCAAGGACGGCATCATTGAAGGATTTTGTGCGGTAGTGCACGAATCCGATTAGGTTCAGAGTGTCGACGGTTTCTATGCTCTGGTTTCCATAGAGTTCCTTTTCCAAGCGGAGCGATTCCTTCAGCATGTTCTTTGCGATGGAATACTCTTGTTGAAACATACTTACCCTTCCGATGTTATAACATGCGTTAGCTATTTCTTTCTTGTTTTTAGTAGTGGAACTGTTCTCGCCGTTGCGTTTTCTGACCGCCATCGCGTCTCTGAGTGCCCCCCAGTAGTAAGGGAGACCTGCTTGGTGATCTCCCTGGAGGGACTTGGCGGTTCCAATATTGTTCAGGACCCCCGCCAGAGACGCTTTCGTTGGCGAGTCATCGTCAATCCCGCCACTCGCCTTCAGGCGGAGCATCATCTGCACACATTCCTGGAGGGATTCGACCGCAAGCTGGTGCCGGTTTTGACGCAGGTACACGCATCCAATGTTTGCCAGTGTATTTGCTATGAGCGGATCATCGTCGCGTTCGGTTGAGCTGCAAAGCATTTGGGACTTCAAAACCGTGTTGAAGGATTTCAAGGCGTTCGCGTATTGCTCGTTTTTGTAGAATTCGATGCCCTCCTTCACAAGAAGTTCCATCTTTCTATTTGTCGATGGCTTCGACCGTTTCAATCGTGTGGTAATGTTTTTGCTAGTGGTGGCTGTCTTTTTTGTCTGTGCGCTGCAAATAGAAGCCAAGGTTCCCGTCTCGGACTCGGAGTGCACATGTTGTGAACCATTCGTTATAGAAGAAGAAGTGTAAAGAACCGGATAAAATGTTTGATCGGGGGTCGTTGGAGACGTTGGGCTTGATATCGTAACCTTTGTTTTGTGGGATTTATAGTCGCAAGCTAGTGTAAAGCTTGTGCCTGATATGGTATCTTTGAATTTGTGAGCTTTACCATCACTATTTGTCTGAGACATCAAACTTGATTTAGTAGCTTTTGTTGGATGAGGTTTTTTATCATCAGGTGGTAAACGAGACTTTGAATTCGATACTGTGGGTTTTGTTTCCATAGATTTGTAATCACCATAAATGTGAGACGTTGTATTTGATATGGCAGCTCTTGCTTTTTGTGACTTGCAATGACCCGGTTCATAAGACTTTGACATTGATGCTCCAGTGTTTCTCTCATTAGAGTTGCAATCATTAGTTTTAATCTCAGACATTGGACTTGTTGATGCGGTAGCTTTTCTTTCGTGAGATTTAAGTTCACCGTTCATCTGAGACGTCGGATTTGATGTGGACGCTTTTGTTTGGTAAGATCTAGTATCGCAGTTTCCAATCATCTGAGAAGTCGGAGTAGATGCAGTAGCTATTGAGATTTCATTGACGCTATCATCCCCTGTTACCTGGCATGTTGGACTTGAAATTGTAGCTATCAGTTTGTCGTAAACTTTGTGATCACCAGTTATCTGAGATGTAGGACTTGATATGTTGGATTTTTCTACGAAATATTTGGTAAGTTCACTGTCGAGTCTCGATTGCCATACCTCTTGTACAGTTGGTCTGCGGTTATTCGGCGACGTGTCCATTTTTCTGGATGAAGTCAAGATAAACTTTTTTGTGTGTAACAGCGGTATGAATGGTGGTAGTGATGATAATGAAAACGACGCTAGTTATGCTCTTTTTCACATTGCTCTCTTTTCTTTGTAGCATTCTTTTGTATGTTACTGCACATGTATTCATGGATACTAATTGAAGCAGTCATTCAATGTTAGGGAGCAGGGATAGGTCAATGGGTCGATCGATCAACCATTCAAGACAGACCACGGTTGAAATGAACAACCAACAGAGTGGTTTTGGGTTTTGGTCGATACCCGAATTTAGTTAAGCCTCGAGCGCAGTAAGTAAAGTGTCGAAGTTGCGTTGAGCAATCGCTAAACGGTCGAAGCAGGGCTTGTAAACGACATGGCTGTATACATATTCATGCTATGTATTAAACATATGATGTATATCCACGAGTTCAGGCGATGATTAAAAATGAAAAATTCATCCGGTGTGGTTTTGAATTTTTTAAAATGGGATGTAGATTTTGGATTTTGTTCTGGAGGCGAATAGTACATACTCAACAGAAAGTACGGTACTGGTGGTACCTTACAGCAGTTACTGAAATCAATGAAACAGAGGCTACTTCCGTACGGTACGTACGAGGTAGGTAGTGCTGTTGTCAGACATCGTCGACAAAAGCAAGACAAAACGTATCGAAAACCAATAACAACAGGAACATGACAACTATCGAAGATGATTCGGAGGGCTCATGGGTGCCGCTTCTTTGCGTCACAGTCCTAATCTTCTTGTGGTGGACGTCATATAGCCAATCGCCAAGAGCGCTTCGGGCTCGACGATGGTATAACACAAAGGTGCGTGCGTTCGTGTGCTCTCCATTCGTTGGCGCTCATTTTCTGCATCTATGAGAATCTGCTCTCGTTGTCTATCGCGCACTTGATGAATTCACGCTATTGTTTTGAAACGACGGCTAACACCATTATTTTTCTTTCTCTCCTTCCTTTTGGATCGAAGAGAGTGCAATGGAAAAAGAAACTAGGTCTTCGGGACGAGAGTATTTACCGGGATGGAGCCGCAGGGGATGGATCTAATCTAAAACACAAACGCCAAGGTTGAAACGGAAGAAGCCTGATAGGATTTTGAGACAACACACAATGATGAGCGTTAACTTCAGAAGATGGACCTACGCGAACCATGACGGAAAGCAACAATAACAAAAAGTCCTAAGTGGCTTGTTGTCGGACCTCTGGAATGCCAAATGCGAAACTGTTCGATGACATAAACGCGAATAGATCTTGTTTTACAACGAATAATGTTGTGCATCGTTAACACGTTTCTTCACTACTCAATTCTGGATCTAGTTTCTTCCCTACAGAGCTTTGTCTCTGCATCGACAACCTGATCCTGTACAGCTGGGATTTTAACCCCATGTTTTGTGCGCAAAATCCAACTGAATCCTTTGGTTAACCTTCGCTGAAACCTCATTCAAACAAAATGATGACATACGTATCGAACCCATCCCTATCATTCTGAGTCTTTGTAAGTCTCGGAATCTGTCCAAGTAGAAGGACAAGCTTTACTCACACTACACTACAGAGTGGATATGCGGAATCTGGAAGTATTACACATCTTCGATCATGCAACAAGAAAAAACCGATTCGTTAGTTGAAAATCCAAAAGATTGCTGTGATGAAGAAACGAATTTAACTGAATTGTCTGCCTCGTAACTGTCACGGTTGCGATAAGCTTCTCGGACCGGGCAATACAAAAGGCAGGTGATCGGTATTATGGATACCACAGCGTCTATTCTCGGAATGCGTTCTGGCATCAATTAGAAAAAATAATCGATGCGAAGAGAGCAGCAATCAAACGGTGCGGATCGTCGGTACTGCAGAACCAGTTCGACTCCGATCACTGCTCTTTTGCAATTCCTTGTTCAAACAAAAAGCCAAAAACAAACACGAGCTCACACAAAACAAAAGAGCGAAAATCTACCACCACGGTGTTCGTTCAACGTAAAAGAATCGACGGAGCATTTCCTTCCTTTCCCTTGCTCACCTTCGATGAATGAAGCAATAACAACGGCGTTCGGCGAGATGCTATTTATCTCTGGTGGAAGGAAGTATAGGATTCTGTTTTCCAACCACTAGCATTGAAACGTTTATTAGTGGCTGTGCGTCAGCCCCACATCGACCTTCCACAGGCGCGACAACAAGGAATACGCTCTTGGGTCGTGCTTCTGGAGTTGTTTCCGGTTGAAGGGATACCACTTGTTGTATTCGTTCGTGTCGTCGAGGCCGCCAAGAAACGCCGCGGAGAGCTCCGCAAAGTATTCCATTGCGTTCGTGCAGGCATAGGCCCTGGCGGTCGAAATGGTCCGTTTCGGTGCCCCGTCGGGTTTGTTGCCGTTGCTGCTGCTGCTACTGCTGCTGCAGTTACTGTGGTACTTGACGCGATCGTACAGTCCCTCCTTCATGGCCAGCTCGTAGCATTCTTGAATTTCCTTGTTCTTGTATCCATCGGGCACCATTCCGTGGTGGTAGGCGTGGCTCAGCTCGTGGAGCATCACGCCACCGATCCCCCACAGATCGCAGTCCTTGCGGTAATTGGGAGCGTCGTTGACCTCCACGCACATGTGTTTCTTTGCCGAGAGACCGTTCCGGGTCAGCCAGACCCTGCCGGGGTGGTAGCAGCACCCCCGGCCCTTCACGGGGCAGTCGCTGGGCCCCCACTCGAGCGACCGGTTCACCCAGATCCGGCAGTGTTTCCGCAGGTGGGCCCTGGCGTGGGGGGGCAGCAGCGCGGCGGCGGCGCGAATGTCCCGCTCCAGCTTCCGGGCCGAAACGGTGTCGCCGCCGCTCCAGTTGGGTTCCAGGCAGCAGGGCCACCCACCGAGCACGACCTCCTCGTACACCTTTGCGGTGGTGTCGAGGGGCTTGGACTCGGTCCGGACCCACCTGGCCTCCACCCTCCATCCCCTCGGGTCCAGCGATCGACGGTGGGTTTCGGTGCCCGTTTCGATGTCGCCGTCGTCCTCGCTGTCGCTATCGCTGCGTTTGCCGTGCATCGCGGATCGCCTCCACGGATCCAGGCACCAGGCTCGTGCCTTCAAGCAGGACAGACTCCCCCGCAGCCGCCGGCGAAGACACCGGGCCCCGGGCTGGCCTTCGTTCGTTGCCACGTGCGATATGGTGACCAACTGGATGCGACGCGACAACACCGACGACGAGGAAGATGAGGAGGAGGAGGAGGACGAGGACGAGGGAGCAAAGGGCCGGTACCCGCCAACCGCAATGGACGACGAGGCGCTGGTGTCTTCGTCGGCACCGATTTGCCCCTCTCCGTTGCAGCCCCTGCCCGATCCGCTGCGTTTGTCTCCCCAGTCTCGACGAAAGAAGGATCTCGAGGATCGGACTTGCTCCGCCTCCGTGTCGCTCCCGGCGTACCCGAGACAAAAGGCGTGTCCGGGATGGGTGTGCTCCAGGTGGTCTGTTTTCAGGCGTCGAAAAGAAGCCCTCGCGTCCTGTGTTACCGTTTGCGTCAGCGAGGACGGCTCGAGCCGGTAGAAGTGGTGGAGCTTCCCGGATTCCGAGACCCAGCACAACACGAGGGGTGCGGGGGACTCGTTTCGAAAGACGACCTCCAAGCCGTCCGTGTTGCTTTCGCTATCACTGTCACTGTCACTGTCACTATCGTTCTGGCTCTGGCCAGAGCCACTGGTTTTGCTCTCATCGTCGGTGTTCTCGTCTCCCTCTTCGTCTTCGTCGCCGTCGATGCTTTCTTCGCCGTCCTCGACCGGCCACGACAGAGATCGAATCTTTCCTTCGTCAAAAGCACAGGCGGCGTCCTCGGCTTGCCAGATATCGCCGAGGCTTTCTTTGAGATCGAGGACCATCTCGCGCTGCCGGTGGTACAACCCAACGTCCCGGAAGATAGAGGCCAGAGAGCTAAACAACGGCGGCTGTGTTGAAGGAGGGGACATGGAAGGAAGAAATCAGTTCAATCCAATGCGGCCGGGATCTTTTTCTTCTTGCCCTCTTCTCTAGGTGGCAGCAGTGTGATGATCTTTGCTCGGCGGTGTCGAGACGAAACAATCGGTATGGAACTTGTTTGGACTGGCCGGAGCGGGTTAAGCAGGATTACCTTGGTGTTCCTGCTGCCTGTTACTGTATTCTCCGTTTTCTTTCTGCATCCAAGAAGACTCGTTGAGCTTCCGAAAACATTCTCTCTCTCAACGTACGTTAAGTATCTACTAATGTACTCGTAAATAGGTACGAGTTGCTATGGCTATTGCCAATACTGTATTGTTGCCAATATTGCCAACAGAACCGCGGTAGAATACCACGTACAGTACCTGGTACCGCAGAATCACGTCGATGCATGTCTCTACATGTCTCTACTTGTGGCATGTGGAATAAAACCCTTTCTATTATTCAACAGATAGTAAGCTAATAGAATTAGCTTAAAGTATTAGCTAATAGAATTAGATCACTATTTCTTGTTCTTTTCTTCTGGTATAGAACACTCAGAGTTATTGCGGGCTTTGCTCTATCTTATGCAATCCTATACAAGCCTCTGGTAATGGTAGGTAGCACTACTAGTAGTAGCACTTGAGAAGAAGAATTGAAGCACAGGTTATGCATACTCCACTTCTCATTTTCTTGCGCATAGAAGCACGGCACAGTGCGCATCAGTCTTTTTTTGTTATAAGACAACCGTACTTAATCCTTTTCAAATGAAAATCTAATTAGGTTTCTATTATAATAGGTGTGCGTGTGTGTGTGTGTGTGTGTGTGTGTGTGTGTGTCGCTCGGGAGTTGGCTGGCATCGCCCGCTCTTTCACGAATCGATCGATGTTAATACCAGTTGTCTCGGATGACCCTGTCCGAAGTGGATCGAATCTGGGCTACCTTGCGCGGAATTCCTTGCTGTCTCCAGAGCTGTTCGAGGGCGCGGAGGCGGGCGTCGTTCAGGAACAGAGGCCGACCGCGCCGGAGGCCGGGATCTTCCTCCCCGTGTTCGTCGACGTAGAGACTGGCCGAATAAGCCGACTTGTTGTTGTGCATCAGAAGCACCGTGCACTTCTGGACCAGAAAGAAAATCCCAATGCCGGAGCCGTTCTTCCTGGCGTGTATCGTGCAGGCCCCGGGTGGGCGCTGGGATCTGTGGTAGGGACGACGCGGCAGTCCCGATCGCATCACGGTTCCGGTCAGCAAGCAAATGGCGGTTTCCGCGTTGCCGGCATCGTCCGAGTCCTCCAGGGATGCAGATTCTTCTCGGCCCTTGACCTTGCTTACAATGCCGTAGAGTTCCACAAACGACTTAGGTAGACGAATCAAACTAAAGGTTGGCGTGTCTTTGCAATGCACGAGTCCAAGATGACTCAAATCGGACATGCCAGAACTGGAAGCTCCGGATTCAAGCATCGATCCTCGTTTGCCAGGTCCCACAACGGCTTGACCTAGTAAACTTGGTTGGTAAGAAATTATCGGAGATTCTCCGAGACCAGCGAACAAATGGGATGTATTCTGGTTTTCACCTTCGTCGGAACCAGAACTGCTGAGGTCGTCACTCGACTCTTCGATCCCTGTCACTGCATTTGCTACTTGATCGACAAGGCCAATCAGAGCTTCGTCGTCTTCCATTTCCATTTCTTCAATCAATTCTTCATCAGAGTCCTCGCCGAGACCATCATTGAAGTACTGAGCTACTGCTGCCATTCCAATTCTCGGGTCTTCGTTCACTGGTGAATGACGATCGATGGGATTTGGAGCTTTCGTGAGAGAATCCATTTTCTCATAGTCCCCAATGGCGACTTTGTTCTCTGCTGTACCAGTAGTAGGACTTTCCTCGTGTGAATCGATTGCCATCCATGTATCATCTTGGGATGAACCAGCGGGTGGGTACAAGGTAGGTAGGACTGACTTTCCGGATGACCCGTGATGTCTTTCCAACCCAATCACGCCGGTTAGCCATCGATTTATGATTTTCCAATAAGGATTGGCTTCATTTACTATTGCGGATGGCATTGGAGCTCCCATCTCTCTCAGTATGAACAGTCCATCACTTGAAGCCATTGTCTCCGTGCCATCCAGAAATTCTTCGAATGCCCTTGTAGATGCAGAATCGGGGCCGTCGGTGGACGTTCCTTTTCTTCGATTGCGACTCTTTGTAGCAGCATAGCATGCGCGCATCAACAAAACAATAGAACGGGCAAATGGAAGGATTGCTCTTCCTACATTTCCAAAAAGGTTCGATGGCGATGAAACGTCGGTGTATTCCTCCAGCTTTGCATCGTTGTCTAGCGAATGAGACGAGACCCTTGCCTTGCAGTGAGAATATAGACTGACCAAAGCCTCAAATTCAGTTTGCATTTCGCTGGGATTCCATCTCCCTTCTTCGTCTTCTTCGTCGATTTCCATGCCATCAACAGAGTCAAAGCCACCAGGTGTAATCAAGGCTTGGATCATTCGTCCGGTGATCAGCAGCCTACCGCATTGAAGTATCTCTTCACTTGTCAGTTGGACGTTGTTCGCATTAGCCAGTATCGATGAAAATACAGCTCCAGCTAAAACATTTAAATCCCATGCTAGTAAGGGAGTGTACAGAAAGGCAGTAGCAGCCGCAGGTCTGAAAGGCACGGTTGCGTCTACCTCGCTTTTCGCCGTAGGATCTAAACTTCCCCAGTTTCGTTCCATAGTTGGTTGGGGCAAAACAGTTTTTCCCGTTTTCTTCACAGACAACGGTATTGGTGGATTACCACTAACGTCTGACTTGGATCCCAAACCTTTCGATACCCACATTTCTGCAGCTGTGGCGCGTGCCTCGTGACGTTGTGAGAGCATTCCGTCTCTTGCTACGTGGCACGGCATAGCAGACATCAATGCAGTAGCCTGGCTCCAAAGCGCCAACCTATCTCGCTCCTTGTCATCAATGAGCCCGTTACGGGCGTCTTTCATGCCTTGCATCCAACTATGTCCGCAAAGAATATCCGCCAAACACTTGGCTACAATTGAAGGCCCAGCCCCATCAAATTTCCCACCTAGTTGCTCAATCATTTCAAACATCAACACTTCGAAAAGACCCGAAGTTCCAGTCATGGTCCTCGTCAGTTCAAGGAGCATTGGGTCATTTTCTTTGTCTTTCTTGTAGCCAGGCCACGGTTCGTCTGTTTTTGAGAAGATGCCAAATGGAAGGACTTCCTCGACACCTCGCACGGCAGCCTCTGCAGCAGCAGCACTATGACCAACTCCAGCCCATGCGATATGCTGCTGTCGAAGAAGCCGTAAAAGACTACCAACAGTTGCCGGAACGTCCGGCGACTCCTCGTAATCCCATCGCAGGATTGAAGGATCCCATTTTCGACTCTTTCTTTTCTTTGACCCCGCACGTTCCCAAGGCACAATCATTGCTTGCATCAGATGGGTGCCAAAGTTTGCTAACGCTTTCGTCCCGATCACGCTGTAAGAGTCGGCCTCTTTCTCTCCCAGAAAGGTTCCTCTAGTGAAAAGGTCCTGTACTGTCTCTTCGATACAATTTGGGTCGTGCGGCACTGCATCAGTATTTTCTTTTTCTTCACTGGCATCTCCTTCCGTAGCACATCCATCTATTGGAACCAAAATATTCGATAGTTGTTTACACAACGGACATAAAAATTCTCCGTCATCAATATTTGCTGCAAACCGTCCATCAAATGGCTGATCTCCAGCTGCCCGTTGATGTAGTGATAGAGTATGCGCTTCAACACATTTGAGATGAGCAGCATGACCGCATAGACGGAAAATTGGTCTCGTACTACCCCATCTTGTGTTCTCATAGCATAGTGATGCAAGTGGGCTGAGAATAACATAACCCTGTGACGATTGCATGCTTGCCCAACCTTTAGTAACCTTTCCTGTGTCTTTGCATGTGTGATTAACTAGAACGCGTCTCGATATGATGTCATATTTATCTGATACAGTACTTTTCAGTACCGAAACAATCGTTCCTCGCTTCAGACAACACAATGGTTTAGAATCCATTGCTTCTGTCTCCCGAACCTGGCAGCCCATATGCCCCACAACACGATATTTTTGATACAATGATTGGCTTTCGATTCCTTCGTTTGCTTTGCCAATCCCTTCGCAACATGCACGCATCTGTGCAACTCGTGATCGTTGCACGTGACCAAGATATCCTAGCGGGCCATTATTTCCCCCGTCAGCATCATCGCACCTGCAGATGATACACAAGTCATCTTCTGCTTGTTCCAATTGATCCTTAACACTACCTTTATCCGAAGTTCCCATCTTCTTTTCAAACGCACTCTGTTTCTTCCTCATCATTTCAAGCATTCGCTGCTGGGCAATCTTGCCACGTTCTTTTTTCTCTTCATTTGCAGAAGCTTCTTTTTGCATTTTGTCATCTGCTGCTTTCGGCCAGAGATCGGGGAGATTTGAAAGCATACCACTAATAGTCACTCGCACTGTCTCGTCGATTGACCATATTGTCGTTCCGTTCGATTCTGTCCCTGGAATAGATGATGGTGTCGATTGCTTCAACGGAACGCCAGTTGTTGCACTCTTCACAGCGGTGGCAACACTGGGCGCTCCATCGACTAGGGCATTGACAAATCGCAAGAGCCATTTGAGTCCACTGCTAGTCAATGCCCTTGCACCTCCATGACCTTCTCCTGCTTCCTCTTGCCCACCATTTGACCCAGCGCCATGATCTCCCCTGTATTCGTAAAGTGCAATCAAAAGACCCAGAATAGAGCCTCGACATTCGCCACTGCCCTTTGACTTCAAAGGACCATTTGGAAATTGACGTAACGCCCAGACGTCAAGAAGACTTTCTGGCACATGTACAAGTCGACCAAGGTAAGAATTGATAGAAAGTCCAGAAGAAAGCGATTTTGCTTCATCGTCTAAATCGGGCTGTAAACGATGGAGAGAAGCACACTCTTCAAGAGTGTGAACTTGCAGTGTCAAAAGCTGGAGCTCTTCCAAAAATGAAACCGATGATGCTGCTACAACTTCAGCCGAAAAGGGCGTACTTGAGTCGCCCTCATTAAACATGGCCCGTTTCTGGAAAGGATTGGATGGCGAGTTGCCAGATCGTCTGCTACGTGTCATGATTGGAACATCACCGATAGATCTACCTCGTGCAAAGGAACTCTGACCAGCACTAGCGTCGGAGCTCGAGGGCATTATGATGTCGTCTTCGACTTCTACTTTCTTCACCGGTTCCGAGGGGGGGAACCAAGCGCCACCACATAGTGCAAATAGCAACGCTCTTCGAATGGCAGCATCCATTGGTGATAGATGAAGCATCAAACGACAAGCAATAAAACGTGGATGAGCCTTCGGTGGTACACATACCAATGGGAAACAACTAGCATCAGCTCCAGCACTCTCTTTCCCTTTGTCTCTAGTTAGTTTTTGTTTTCGCAAACTGGAAACAACATCCATCGCATGTTGATGCTCTTGTCGGCGAAGATGGAAGAATGTCGGGTCGTATTCTTCGCAACATGACGGCGATAATTCAAAAGTAGAAGGGCCAGATCTTCCTCGGGATCCCTGAGTCTTTTGTTTTCCAACATCTTTCAGAACTTTTGCGAATACGTCTCGAAATAAGCCACCTCCGCCACTTGTTCCAGCACTGCCATCACTCTCATCTCTACGACCTACAGCACATGAAGCTGCTGCCATTGCTGCACTATGAGATCTGGGTTCGGCTGCTAATGCATGGATTAGTTCTCTCCGAATGCTTTGTCTCAGCCAAGTTTCGTCTGATGATGAAATTGGAGGAGGTGGAGGCAGTTCCGTGACCAAAATACAAAGTGTTGAAAAGAGAGATTCGGAAAGAATTGGTGCATAATCTGGATCCTGAAGTCGAGGAGGAATAATCCATGCTCCTAGCCCAGTTGCATAAGTGGAATTTCCAGTCGATCGTCGTTCGGGATCACAAAGGTAGCCATCCATGCTAAACCGGTTGATCAGTAAAGTCAAAACACGTCGAGCACCCAAACCGACACTCATTCCGGACGCTGATAGTTGCACCAGGGCCAAATCAAGATCTCTGAAGGAACGGCAGAGCGGTGCATTTGAATAATTTAGAGCCATTCCAGCAACCGAGGTCCCATTGCGTGCCCAGAGATGGCGTTCAATTTGTTGTGCAGCAGCAAGGCACCTAATAGGGTGGTCAACTAAGGAATGGATAATTTTCGCGACCGCAATGTTTGCCGAAACTGTTCGAGAACGATCACGCCGACGTTGCGCCTCTTGTGCGTTGCAGTCCGGACCTGCAGACCAAACAACTCTGCAATTTGACGGTCGGAGAGTTGGTCTTATAAGGGGGACAAGCGGATGTTGTAAATTATTTGCATTGAGATCGAATGTGTCTTTGATGATGTCTACCACTGGTAACTTCCACCATCCTAAAGCATCGCTGTTTCGAATTGATTCGGGAACCACCACGGCGCATAAACTCCTTATCGTCTTCGCTAATGCTCGATGTAAGGGTAAATGGAAAGATAACGAATCTCCGCTAAGAGGTGAGTGCGGAACACGTAACCAATCGCCCATTACTGCTCCGCTGGTTGGGCTTGACGCTGCCATAGGGCTTTGCACACCATCGCTTTTAACACGTCGGTTGGCTCCTTCAAGCTTCAAAGCGTTCTCTATGAGGATCAATTGTGATTCTCTCATTTTGACTGACGTGGCACATGCCAAGGCAACAGTGCTTGCACTTGATGAGGGAAAGGTTTGCCCTTCAGGAGATGAAGAACCAATCTGCGAAGCGGCAATGTGTAAAGTACTTCGCTGGAGTGCTTCAACTTGAGCTTGATCCGACGCGCTTAGAGCGCTTCTTGGTACAGCAGGGAGCCCTGTCTCTAGCATTCCCTCTTTGTAGAGCCATAGCTTTATTTCCTTTAACAACGCAGCCATAATATTGCCCATTGCTTCTCGAATACTAACTAAATGGGATCCATCTTCTGATACTGGAGCGAGGGCTGCACTACTACTATTGGTTGGACTCTCGGCAAGCGCATCTCTTGTACCCGCGAAGTTTAGGCTGAGACCAAAAGCTTCCAGCCATCGGCTTTGTTCGTACTCGACGTGACCACCATTTGTTTTTCGTTTTTGTGGATCCATGCCCTGCGCTAATCTAAGTAAACGGGCCCATGTTGTGCAAAATGTTAAAACTTCCTCCCCGCGTGACGACAGTGACATTCCCCGGTATGGTGGAAATTGCTTTGGCAGCAGAATTCGCATAGCCGTTCCAGGAGTTTCAATCACATATTCCAAATCGCGCAATAAGTGTGGCAATCTCTTATGTCTGGTTGATCTAGAATCAAGGTACCCGTCGTCTGGAGCTGTTGGTAGTAAAGTCATGATGGGATGTTCACCGGCGACGTACGTTGTTGCAGCCAAGCAACTATTTGCAGTATTGTTCAAAATCATGTGAACTTCCTTCGTCGCACCGAGCAGGTTTGTATGAATGCATCGCACAACAGTTAATGCTATTGGCACCGTAAAAACTCCTATCGATGACGACTTTTGGTATGCCGACTCGCGTTCATCGTCTGAAAGTAAGAGCTTCGCGGCAGCAGGAGCACTTCCAAGAGCTCGAACCAAACTACCAGCAGTAAATATTTGTACCGTGAAGCCAAGCGGTGTATCGGCTTCAGTACCTACTCCTGCACAAAACAAGGTACTCAGTGGTCGGTATGCGATTCCGAGGGCGGCTGCAAATCTGCACTTGAAGCGTGCATCCGTCAACAGAGATAGAAACAGGGAATGAATTGCCCCGCGCAACTGCTTTGTTGGATAGGGGTCTAACAGGAGCAGCAAAATTGCTGGGGAAACGGGAGCTCGAAAAGAAGAAGCTGCCAGTAGAGGCCGGTACTCCATTGGGTTTGGTGGAGATGAGGGATTCGCCCCAACCATATTGGGTTTAATGGTTCCAACACCACTAATCATATAGAGACCAGGCAATCTATGGGAGAAGACAGTTGACAGTGTCTGATCAGCTTCTTGCTGTTTTCTCAAATCGGTATCAATTACGTAAACAGTTTCTGTGAGGTCATTTCTCATAGCAAACAATTCCGCATCCCATTCTCCCATGGTCCATTTTCCTGACTTCAGCAACGAAAGCAGGGGGTGCTTCTTGACAATAGGAACAGAATCATCGTACAGAGACGGCAGTGTCCCCCAGAGCGAGTGTGGCGACTTTCGGTATTTGGCGGATGGAAGCCTGTATGGAACATTCGAATAGGTTGTTGGATCGGCACCTACCAGAAGTAAATCAACAAATAGAGAATAATTTCAGATTGAGAAACACACGTATCTGGCTAAACAGACAAAATTGAAGGAACCAACACCACCTTATAAACAACAATGATGAACTCGGCATTCACGCGTTTTTTTTTGGGACTCACCMGTGAACTCCAAAAATGCTTTTGCATCCACCTTCATCGCCATTGCGTGGAGTTTCTCTGCCTCCTCCCCCGTCAAGTAACTCGTCGCTAGATGCGGAGGGAACACCTTGAAACGCCTGTGAAGTGCCATCTCGTCCGTTTCGTTAGGGGCCACCCATGTAGGGATCATTCTGGGCTCTTGCCAAACGGAGATACCTCCCAGATCTTGTGTCGACTTGATCTGGAGCAATGCGTGTACTACCAATACCGCCGCGGAGGGATGGGCCGCACTGATTTCCGACAGCCACGACAACAAGTGTCGCGCCCGTTGCTCCATGTCGAATTGTGCGGAACTGACCACCGCGCAGTGCAATCCACGCGACTTGAGCCGCTTGTATCCCTCCATTGCCGCCTGGATGGTGGTATACATCTTCACGGTAACTTGCCCGTCGGCATCGACGTGGTGCGTCATTTGGGTGGCTTCGTCCTTGTTGGTGACCAGGGGTTTGCCCACAGGGCCATCGTGGGTCATATTGCCGCGCAGCGCGTCTATGACCTCGTCGAACGTGTGTACATCGTCGTTGTGGAGCCGTAGCTGCAGCTTGTAGTTGCCGGGGAAACAATGACTGATCGTTGTGTCGGGGAGAAAGTCGCTCGGTTTCTTCAGGGGCTGCTTAACCGATTTCAGATTGTGGTAGTCGTGGGTTTCCGCGACTCCGTTCCAGATTCGGCAGGCCTCGTCGGCCCACCGCAGCTGCCATTGCGCGGGATCCGCTCCCACACCCGCTCCGTCGACGGCTTCCGTGACGCATCGGACGGCGGCCCCAATCACAGCCGCGAGGGCCGCGGCCAGTTTGGGCTCTAGCTTCGTTGGCGCCTGACGGAGGGTTTCCAGTCCGTCCTTCAGACCCTGCTGGGCCATTCGAACGGCTTCCTCCGGGTCGGCCTCGTCGTCGACTCCATCCGGGCTGCCCCCGGTGGAAGACACCGGCGTCAACGGTCTGTGTACGGGGCAGCATCCCTCCGGCTTCCAGGCTTCAGCGTCTCCGCAATCGCAGCATCCTCCCGGGGTGGTTCGATGGAAGTAGACCTCGTGACCTTCGTGGTCCGAATGCCTAAAGCAGGTGTCGCAGATTACGCAGGTGGAATCGGTTTGACAAGTTCGGCAATTCCAAGCAATGTCGCCTCTCTTAAAGACGTACCCGCACGGCCGACGGGGACGCCGGATCTCGCAACCCTTTCCTCCGTTTTCGGCTAGTTGGTCCTCTTCCAATAGTTTTTTCAGGTATGCCACGGTGGTGCCACCGCTCCCCGTTACGTTAACCATGGCGGCCGGGGGATCTTTTCGCTTCTCATCTCCGTCTTCGTCGATATTGCAGTCGTCGTCTTCGACTTTGTCGTGGCTATATTGCAAAACCATTGCATCGGCCCAGGTTTTCGCACGAAGCGGGGGAACACCGGTCAGCCGACCGAACGCGGCATTCGCTAGGACCGACAGGGAAGGCAAAAATACGAGGGTCGGTTGGCTCACATCCTTGTGGTACGTACGAACGTAATAATTCAAGAGATCGTCCGCTAGCCTGGCCTTGTGCGCCAACCAATCGGGTGTGTAGAGAAGCCCCTGGATACCGGCCTTGTGTTCGGCGCTGTTGTCAAGAAAGGTAAGCCTGGGCACCTCGGACATCGGACTGCCGAAAAACTTGCCGCCCCTTCCACCGGATCGCGGAGTGCCCGACATAGACAGCGACAGAGACGATGAGGAAGATCGCTCCGGGATGTTGTCTGAGTAAGAAAAAGTCGACAAGAGATACGTGTGATCGTTCGAGACACCGGCTGAGTTCTTCCCCATTTTGTTGTTTTGGTCTGGATTGGTCCGGTCATTGTTGTTGTCCGTGTTGTAACTGACCCCGCCCGGAATGAAGTTGAGCTGCACAGGCATTGGATAGGAAGGGAGAAGAGAAGGGGTTACAGCTGTCCTGGATGCATTTATGCCAGGAATGATACTCGCATTGTCCTCCATCTTGGCTGATTTAGTTACTCGATTCGATTCGATGATTTTGTTTTGTTTCGGTGGTGTGATTGGAATGGATTGGATCGGATCGGATCGGATCGGATTCAATAAAAAGGTATGATGCGATGCGATGCGATGCGATTGGATTCCACCAGATGGCTTCGCCGTTCTGGCTTGGTTCTTGTTCGGTTGTCCGCCCTTGATTTTCTTTCCTCCTTACAAGCTAGCTTGCTTTGCAATGAACCGAGTTAAACTTGTTCCAGCTTAAGCTTTTGTATTTGAAGGATAATTTTGCGTCGGTAGGAAGGGCTCTTTGTTATGGTTGCCTATTGTGCCAGTGCGTCGAGTATTATTGATGCGAGCACTACTGTACCACAAACACGATTAGTTAGGGACTTCTACGTTTCGTGCGGTACTCGTGGTCGTACAGACACAAAATAGAATTACAGTAATTTCGTTTCTGATAGCCCCTAGTTCACGACGATAGTCGCAAGTCGACGGTAAGAGCGGCCCACCGGATCAAAAAACCATGAGATTTTCTCGATCCTTCCACCACAATCGAACAGAGTCTCAGAATTACGTGCACTTGCTGCGTGATGCCTCCACCGTACAGAAGGCTACCGGCTACTTTTTTACTTGTCTTTCGAGGCTCGTAGGTCGTACGGGCTCGCTCCTACGGTAGGAACCGTCCGGTGGACGTCGGTTCGACGGCCCAACGGTTCGTATCGCGCATAAATCGATCTAAGTAAAATTTTCTTCAACTCAACATATATAACTACCCAAAATCGTGAGTCGACGAAGTATACTAGTGTCTACGGATAGAGACGAGCGTGCCGGAAGAATCAGATTTCTCGCTACAATATTCTGGACGCAAGTTTTCATAAAATAGTACCGGTATAGTTTTGTACGTACGGTACTTATTCCTGACACATCATGATATTCGGATCCTGACTCCTACAAGAAGTATCGTTTTACCACTACTGATACTAGTACTACTAGTACCACCATCTGTAGTAGTATTACTACTAATAGGTTTCATCTCGTCCTACAACTACTACGGAGTAAAGGTCATCCAAGAAGTGCCTACTAGTAGAATTAGTAGCTAAGTAACTACTGCTGGTGGTAGTACTACTATGAAGTGGAATATGGGTGTGCCTTCTTCTTGCTACTAGTAGTACTAGTACTTCTTCTTGTAGAGTAGTGTGATGCTGAGTTATTCTTCTTGTTGCTTCTTGCTTGATGTTGCGCAGCAGCAGTTTCTTGAGGAGATTCATCAAGAGGTTGATTGAACAACAAGGCATTGAATGAGAGGGAAAGTTTTTGCACTAGTAGTGCTACTACAACTAGTATGACACAAAGAAGGGTAGAGCATTGACCCAAGTATGAATGTGACCAGGAAGGTGAAATGAAGATTCCAAACTTCAGACGTACTGTGTAATGCTGCTGTTCTCGACCACCCATCAAAATGACCTACACCAGTATGGGTTTGATGTGCTTGACATTCAGTCTCTGGAAGACAACAGATGAACATTTTGCGCCTCAACAACTTTCCGTATGCCATGCCTGTACACAGCATATTGCTGCAGCCAAGACATATCCTATTGAACAGAAGTCATCTATCGACAGCTCTTTTTGGGATGAATATACTAGTAGACCTAGTACATGAGCGACATAAATCTGGTTCTATCTGGGTTTATTCTCGCCGTGTGATTTTACTATCAATATTTGGCCTGCATTGTGCTTTCAGGCCCGGTGCAAGTGCAAAAGGAGATGATATTCGATGCAAAACAAGGGAGTGCATACTAGCGAAGGATCAGTCGCTCTGTGCAAGATGAACGCTGTAATGATCGAGAATAAGTCGAATATTGCTCCAAGGGAAGTCATGGAATCATTGCCAGGCATCTCCGTCGTCATCGCCGTCTAAAAGAGTATCGCCGCCGCCCGAGTCATCAAAGTGGATGTCCGCCTCTCCAAAGAATTTTTGTTTCGTCCTTCGCTCCGCTTGGTCCAGCGTGTCTTGTGCCCTAGCGACGGCCTTTTGGACCCATTCGACACGCCGTGGGGTGTCGACGGATTTTTTATCTTCGTTCTCGTCGTAGACCGAAGCCGCACCATCGCTGCCAGACACCGAGGCCGGGACGTGCTTCGGCAACCGCTTGGCGGCCCAGTATCGCGCTGCACCCATGTCTCCGCTGCCCAGGGCTACCTCGACGATCCCACTCAGGGCCCCTATATGGTGGGGTTTGATCGCCAGCACAACTTGGCACAGCTTGTAGGACAGATCAAACCTTTTTTGTATGAAGTATAGGGTCGCGAGAAGGTTTACGGGTTCCGAAAAGTATATCCCGTGCTCGTCGACGAGCTCGATTAGGTTTTGTTCGCATTCTTCCCACTTCGACTCGTCCATAAACATACCAGAACTCTGCTGGAGTTTCTGTTTCGCAGCGCTACCTCGTTCGGAGTACCAGTGGTCCCAGAGCTCCGAAATCACATCGTCCCCATCGTTGAGGCATTCTATCAGTTTTATTTCAACCAAACGGCGGCTGCGTTCGATGGTGGATAGCGGGGGAGGTGGAGGTAAAGCAGAAAGCGAGAACGGCTCGTCGTTGTCCGCAAGAAATTTTGAAAAAGAGAAAGGAGTGGCCGCAGCTGCCAAATCGCTAACTCCATCGTTGCTGCTGTTATTGCCGCTGGCGATTTTTTCCGGGTCGGAAAGCATGTTTTCGAGTCGCCGACGGGCATTTTCGACGTCGAACGATGCGTTTTCCTCGTCACCACCATTGCCGCCCTCAAAAAGATTTGTGGTACATCTCGGAGCTACATTCAGCGTAACAAAAGCACTGGATCCTATTGCAGAGGACAGCAATGTAAAACCCAACAAACTCCGATGCATTTTTTATGCGTATTGAATATTTCCGTTCGATCAACGTCTTTTTGTCGTCTGATAAATCGACGCTCGTTCCAGTAGTTCTTTCTTTTCTTAAGGAAGGTAAAAGTAGCAGTCGCAGATAGTATCTTAACTTTGGTATGCAACTGGTATTTTTACCAGTGCGTTGCTTATTAATTCCCTCTGCTCATTCTCTCTTGGTCGTTTCGAGTCCGAAGAGATCTTCCGTGGCAGCAATAGTAATGATGATGTCGATTTGGTTGAATTCGGCAGGAGTGAGCGTCAATGTTCTGTTCTATCATCTGGGTTACTTAGAGAGCTTTCTGATGCGTTGATCTTCGTCATTAAAACGATACGTGCATACCGATACGTACGTATGGTACGTACCGTACCGTTCTAACCAACGTTGAAACTTGAAACCGTGAATACAAGCAAAAAGTGAGCAACTCGCCGATTACGAGTAGTACCACGGTAGGGTACGTACGTACTCGTACTGGAACCTTCCGGTACCTCAGACCTCAGCAACAAGGTCACAAGAACAGGGTTCAAATCTCGGAGCTAGTTTTCGATAGCACAGACAGGAAGTGACAGGAAGCACTTCTTCGACGAGTTCGAGTACGGTGCAGCAAAATACCTTGCTTGTTCCATCTTCCTCGAAAGGTTAGACTACGGCACGACACGACACATTACCTGATCGATACCACCGACGCCGGCAGTTTTGCTCGCCGATTGTAGCGCTACGGACACCGCAATTGCCCACCGGACGATGGCGAGAACAAGAACAACCCCCCGCGGCGGTGGTGGTTGTGCCCCCGGGGCAAGGTGTCGCTCCTCCCCCGTTTCCTTTCTGCTGCTCCTGGCCAGCGGGAGTGCCCTACGGTCGGATCCTTCCGCAGCAGCGGCGGCCCACCGCGGCCTGGGCACGAACCAGCAGCACCAGAGGGACATCAAGGACTACACCCTCTGGGAGTCGGCCCGGATCGCCAAAACCCTGGCGACGTGGGGGGAGACCTACCCCGGCCTGGTCGAGGTGACCACCGCCCAGGAGGCCTACGGGCTGCCGGCGGCGGGGGGACGGGAGGATTGCCCCTTCTACGAAGCGGACGGCTGCCCCAACTATTTTTTCACCATCCAGGACTTTGTGGCCCACCCCCCGGGGAGCCCGTCCTCGGACCGCCTCCCCGAGGTCTTCTGGAGCGGATGCCTCCACGGAAACGAGCGGGTCGGACCGACCAGCGTCATGGAGGCCTCGGTGCTGCTGCTGGAGGCGGCCCGCTGCGAGGCCCTGCCGTCGCAGCCAAAGCCGAAATCGAAACCGAAACCGCAGTCCTCGAAGGACCTGGAGGAAGCGGGGGCCTGCCGGGAGGCCCTCCGGAACAGGGGCATCGACGACGTCCACCGCAAGTGGCTGGCCCGGCTGGTGGCCACCCGGCGGATCGTCGTCGCTCCGACCACGAACGGTACGTACGCAGCACGGAGCGGTGCTATGGCATGCGATGATGTGCCATGACATGCCATGACATGCCATAACATGCCATAACATGCGATATATGTACCATGACACGCGATGACATACGATGCGGTCGGATCCGCACCGAACGAAGCCAACCTTGGCACTCACCTGCCTCTGGGGACAAACCGGTGCCGGCTTTTGTTCGATCTCGCTTGCTTGGAACTCACGCGGTCTTGTCTCGTTTGATTGCGCACGCGGTGCGATGCTATGCTATGCTTGTGTCGTGGATGAAATGCCACGGGCGGATTTCCCTCTCTGCACGGACACCACGCTTCTGGCCGGAGCAGCGCTCGGATACTACCGCAACCAGCGCGAAGAAGGAAGGATCGACCCCAACCGGGACTTTCCGTACGACCTGAAGGATTCCAAGATGTGCATGCGGACCATTGCCGGGCGGACCGCCAACGAAATCTACCGGGAGCACATGTTCCAGCTCGCCCTGACCTTCCACGGCGGCATGGAGGTCGTGGCGTACGAGTGGGGGGCGCCCTCGTTTCTGGACCACTTCTCCCCCGACCACGAGGCCCAGGTCCAGATCGGTGGGGCCTACAGCCGGTACGGGGGCGGGTGGTCCACGAGCCATCCGTACCAACACGGGACGATGAACGACGAGGTATACTACGTGCGGGGAGGAATGGAGGATTGTACGTGTTTGTAACCTCGGGAGAAGCGTTTCGCGGCAACTATTCTGTTCCACACACTCCCGAACACTCCGCTCACGGTTTTCTTTCTTTTTTTCTCAGGGGCATACGGCGGGTCTTGGACTCCTGAGAAGGTTACTCCCTGTACTCCAAAAGAGTTCGGAGGATATCCACGGGAAAAGACGGTCTACAATAATTCGACGCTCCGGGTGTTCAACATGCTCGTCGAAACGAGCAACGCAAAGGAGCCCAAACACCATCTCGGGAGTTCGCTGGACGTCCTGAACGGTGACACGGCAGGCAACGGGCACGTGTCTCGCAACATTCGTCTGTCGCTCCTGGCGGCCGACATGGTAGAACCCTACGCGGCCATCGTGGGCGTCAACAAGCTGGCCCTGACCGACGACGTCGTCCCCATGGCACCGCGCGAACCCAACGGCTGCATGGACACAAGGGCCGTGATGGTCGCGCAAAACGCCGAAACGGTGGACATCGAGTGGACGGTGGGAGGAGCCGTGACGATCGACAGCACGCAGCTCTGGTACGCCAAGTGGGACGATGTTGTGCCGAAGGGGGGCGATGCTTGCTGGACCCAGCCCGATAGCAGTCTCACGGACGTGCTGCAGCGGATCGGAGGGGATTCCATCGGCAGCGGATCCGGTTTCTTTTCCGATCGGGGACCCCAACCCCGACCGGAGGAAAGTGCCACCGGCATTCGAATGACCAACGGCCCATTGTTCCGCGCGACCGTTCCTCTGGGAACCTTCCAGACGGGAGACAAAATCATGGTGATGGCCTCCGCGAGGGTGGATCAGTCGTGGAAAGACCAGCCCGAAAACATTCTCCCGCTTGTACCTCCCCAGAGCCACATCGTGAACGCCCGCACGGATCCAAACTACCACCACGAAAGCAATGGGAAACAGATTGTGGGCAGACTAGACTGGTTTTCGGTGCCGATCACAATCGTTGTCGGGGACTTCAAAGACAGCGTCGGTACACGAGGTGCCGACTCCGTCGATGCTATTGAGGTTCATTCCAGGTTTGTTGACAATCGAAGCATCAACCACGGTGGAGTGAAACCAAACTCTGCGCAGACGGTTCAGTTGGAGATTGCCATTTGGCACTACCTGGTCGGAATTACGTTGATTGTAACGCTTGCCTATTGCTGTATAAAGTCCTGTTGCAATCGTGGCTATCATKGTGTAGAGAAACTCAAGCAAGGAGATAGCTTCGACGAGGACGATGATCTAGGTCTGGAACAAAACCAATACTCTGACCGAATTGACGACGAATACTGCGATGAAGACGACGATGAAAGTGACGAGGGAATAGAAATCCCTAGTATAAACTAATTATTCATAATTTAATAATTGCTAAAATATTTCTCTAGCAAGAGACAAAGATGCTATGTCTAGTAAACAAATTAGTGTGTTACAAGTAAACTACGACAGCACTAACATTGTCCGATGTTCCCTTCCGAAGCGCAATGGAGCAAAGTGTCTTAGCAGCATCATGGGCAGACATTTTGTTTACGGTTCTCATCTTGTGGAGATCGATTGCAACCTCATTCGAATCCATGACACTCCACAGACCATCCGTTGCACTGATCAAAATTTCACCCTCTTGGACCGCCAGTGTCGAAACGTCTGGATCGCTGACAATGCCCTTAGAAGTAGCGAAGACGCCTTCGAGACTCCGGCCCACAGCATATTCATAATCTCCAACTCGGAGTGACCAACGAGACAATCGACATTTTGGCATAGAATAATTTAGTCCGTCGCGTATACCCTGAGCCAACCGAGCCTCTTCGGATTGTGGTGTGTGGTCAAGCGTAGCAAACTTGACTTTTCCCTTCCCACTGACAACAAGGCTTCTCGAATCTCCGCAATTCAACAAGGTCAATTCGCTGGATGTTTCGTCTAGAGCTAGCATAGAGCAAGTTGTACCAGCTTCGAGATATTCGCTCCCCGTCTCGGCTTTCAGAATTCCTTCCACAGGATCGTAATCAGCTATACACTCTCCCTCCTCTGTACACTTTTGTTTGTATCTTTCGCAGACGACATTCCACGAATTTTCCAACGCGTCACCGACCGATTGCAACCGACCTTTGATTACAAGTTCTTCTGAAAACAGCCCCGGGAGGTCTTCGGATACAATTTGAGATGCGGCGCAACCGCCATGGCCATCCATAACACCGGCTACCAATACAGATCGGTCTTTTGCGTCGTGGATCTCATGCAAGACAAAGGTGTCCTCTTGTGTCGTCCGCCTCCCTTTCGAAGACCAAGCTCCTCGGTCAACTACTTCGATCTCCACCTCGTCGGTTGGTTTCATGGAAATCGCCTCGTTAATCCTTACCGACTTGCGATCAAAATGCAGACGGACATTTTTGGTTGCTCTGGGTTGATCCTGTAGCATCCCGACTGCCCTTTCGAACCCTCCATCTACGAAGGGAAGCTCTCCGATACCAGACAGTCGATCACCTATCTCAAAAATACCAAGTTCATCTGCCTGGCTGTCAGGCACGATACCCTTAACAAAGACTTCGCCGGGAAAAGCGTCTTTGGTAGCCTCATTCCACATGGGGAGGAATTCGTCATCTTCGTCCTCGTCCTCGGTGTCTTTTTCCGACAAAATCAATCCAAGAGGGGTGGAACGAGAAAAGGTTGCGACAAAATGGAGCGGTCGACTGATAGAAGGAATTTCACACGTTTCAAGTGCTTCAACGACCATACCGAAATATGAGTGGTCAATATCTATGTCTTCTTCATCCTCTAGCTTGAATGACTTTATTTCTCGCCATCTCGCTAGCGCCTTCCGGGCACTCAGACGATCTCGCGGTTCCTTTGCGAGCAAATCTGTCAATAAATTCCAGAGACCCGGTCGTTCCGTCAAATAGTTCAGAGCTTGGTCGAGCCCCACCGGACGAAGCTTCGTGGCCAGTTCGTTATTTAACCACACGTTTAGATCACAATTAGCCTCTTCGACGAGCTGTTGCCGAAAGCCCGCATCGACCCGTTCCTCTAGGTATCCAAACATCAGCTGGCAAAAAATGAGACCCGCCGAGAAAACATCGAAGGACTCAGGTGCCTCGTACAAATCAATAAAGATTTCGGGAGCGGCATACACCGGCGACACAGCGACACGGTTCCCATTTTCGAGACCGACGCGTTGCTTGTTCCATGCGCTCCCACTTGGTTCTAGGTCCGCGGCGCTACCAAAATCCATCAACAACATGTTGCGATCGTGAACCAACAAATTGGCGGGCTTCACATCTCTGTGGACTATTTTGTGCTTGTGTACGTGCTCTAAAACGGTCAGTAATGATGGTATAATCACATCTAGTGTTTCTTCATATGATGCTGTGTCCAGAGCGTCGGTAAGATGTCGCAGTTCGTGTTTTGCGAGCGCAGACTCCTTGACGTCAAGGCGCATTAGGTCTTGCAACGAAGGTGCCGGTGCGGGAGTTTCTCCATCCATCGTTCCAACAAATCCAAAGACCATCCAATTATGGTCAACCTTTTCTTTTGGCATGCCGTCGCCATTTGGAGTTACTCTAATGTTCTGATTCGTCGTCCCTAAAAAAGGTGGCAATTGTGGATGCGGCGGCAATTTGTCAAAGACGTGTTCTTCAACTTTCCAGTAGTACATACATCGCTCGGCGCGTTCCTTCGCGTCTTTATCCAGCGATTTCCCCTTTTCTTTTCTCTTTTCGGTCAGCTTTTGCAACATCTCCTCGTAGCTCCAGGGGCGTTTTCCAACATAAACTGCAGGTCCATCGCGCGATTTTGATTCGAGCAAATGAACAGTTCCATAGGACCCGCTACCAATGTTTCTATCCTCAATGAGGACAGCCCCTGCTTCCAGTGTTTCCGCTGGAGTCGTTCCTCTTGTCGAATCGTGCACCTCTTGACCTGTGGAAAAGACTGTCCATCGATCCCATTTTCTTGTCGTCGGCACCACGAACGATGCAACTCCATGCAGGTACACCATGTGCACAGCCATCATCAAAAGAAGGATCGAGGGCTTGCTCATTGTTGACTCTAACTGCTGTTCCCTTCTTCTCGTCGCTAACCTTTCTTCAATACCACCAGAGCCTAAATTGCCAGTTTGAAATCCCTCCTAGTTGTAGAAGACACAATATGCATTACTTCATGAATGCTTCTAATTGACCATATCTTCACTGAGAAAGAAAATCATCTGGTGTATTTTCGACGAGTAGGCTTAACGTAACCGTGCTTTCTACGAGTAGACTTGCGAGAAATGGTTGGAGGAACAATCTGCACTATCAACACGAATCTTTTGCCGTCTTCTTCATCGAATACAAAGAAAGATGGCGTCACAAATGTCAGGAACCATGTCGATTTCGATGTTTTTCGAAAAAATTAAATTCTCCGGTCCCCTTTTTTCCATTATGTGATCGGAATGTGATCAGAAATGATCACAAAATTGATGAATTTCTTGATCACAATTTTTTGTGATCAGTTTTGATCACATTTTTTCCAACGGATTAGAATTAATATATACTTTTATTCTTACATTAATATGTATATTCGATTTATATGAAAATATATATATATATATATATATATATATATTCATATATAATTATATATATTAAGTGATTAATGGTCATATTATTAGCACGTCGCATTAATTCTTAATAGGGCTTGTTATTACTATGTTGGTAATACAGGACTGGTGTACTATTGCAACTATTGTTGGTAATACAGGACTGGTGTACTATTAGTAGTAGTACAAACGTGTAAAAATACTGTTATTATTTATATTAGGGTATTAAAATATTATTTAAAAACGGGACTAGTACAAAATGTACATAAGACAGTTCGAATTTGTGATCAAGATTGATCACAAAAACCTGATCACAAATTTGTTATTTCTGATCACATTTTTTGCGATCAAAACTGATCACAATTTTCGGTACCCATAGGGGGATCTGGGAATCTAACTTTTTTCCAAAAAATTGAAATCGACATGGTTCCAGTCTTCCTTTAAATTTCAGTCACGAGTATTTGAACAATTTAGCGACAATTGGCTCGCTAAAGCAAAAACGGTAGTTTCTACCTACGGTTCAAAAACCAATTTGGTGCCAGTAAGGTGGAGAAGTTATGCTCTGAAAAGTATGTAGTACTAGAAGCTATTCAATGAAAGCACTGTGACTATTTGCTGTTTCTGAAATTTCTGAAATAGGAATGGAAATCATTGATTTGTTGTGTATCCTGGCTATTGATTTTGTTGGTGTTGTTTTTTGTAGTAACAAGAAGCACCAGAAGAGGTGTTCTTCTTCTTACAAACACCACCAGCAGACCAGCACCATTGGTGAAAGCACAACATAAATCCAATTTCTTGTGTAAAACCAAGTTGAAACCAACACTTTTTCCAAAGATCTTCCCTGTAATTTGTGAACAGTTCTTGTATTAGCAATATTGATTGGGAATTGAGTTAAACATATTCCCTTGTGCTGACTTGTTTGAGTTTCTTGGTTCTTGGTGATTCTTGATTCATATTCTTGTGGACATCAAAATTTTGTTGTTGCTGCAGTGTTTTAAGGAGTTAAAGTGATCACTGTTTTGAGTCTCCTTCTTCAATGACTGCCTCTATCCATTCAACTTTCTCAGCATCTGCACATCAAATATAAAATCCATCAATGTTGATAATTTCACAATCTTGCTAGTACCCATTTTTCAGTTTGACAGATTTGAATGTACACATGAATCCATTTGTTTTTGACTTTTCAACATCCTCTATGTTATCATTGATCATGATAGGTCTACTAGTACCAACATACAATATATGCATTGGATCTATCCTTTTGGAAGATTTGTTTGGACATGCAACAATATCCTTATCATTGCTGTTAAGCATCCATTGGGGGCCAAGTGATAGCTGTTCAAGTGAGTTGAACCTCTCTTAATGTTCTACAATTTTTCTACTGTGCATCATTTTGGGGCCAGCATCTTCTTACCTTCTTGAAATGAATCATAGGATTAAAAATTCAAAATGTATTACAACAAGAAGTACAGATATCATACTAGTACGCATAGTGGCACATGTGAGCAAAACTATTTGGTCGCACAACTGGTGGGAATAAAATTGAGCACATACCCCACTGTACCAGTAGTATGATTCAGTTTTTTAATCTAAGTAGTCATTTCATGGAAAAATAAGGGCCCAAAATGTAAGACTGGTTTGAACATTTAAATGACAACTATACGATACTATGCGTTGACTTTGGGCCATCTTTTTTGTGTAATGACTTTTAGTGGGGCTACAGCAACAGAATGTGTGAGCAAAACTATTTGGTCACAAGACTGACCAGATTCAAAAATTAGAAATTCAACACAACATTTGTACGTACTGAGCACATGCATTTTGTATGCATTTAGATTTTCATTCACCAAAGTAGTCATTGTATGGAAAAAAGGGCCCAAAATCTACAATTGGTGTGTAGATTTCCAAGCCACGTCTACATTATGACCAGGAAAGATGATCTCTTGTACTGTTCTGATTTAAATTGAATTTTTTCCTTTTCATTTCCCAATGTATTCCTGCATCAGCTCAATTCTATGCAAACCTGGTACTTTGACTTCTTCTGTAATTTACACCATACTAATATGTGATTTAAGAATAGTGAGTCCTCATCTGGAACATGTCCTACTACTCTTGGTGAAATGTTAAATCAAGTTTATTCATTGTTAGATCATCACTTGAAAGAGTAATGCAGCATTCTTGACATCTAACAATATTTTTTCACCAAACTTTATTTTCCCTGATCTTGCTCTAAGATCCCTCAAATCTTAATTGCTACATGGTGTCATTGTTGTTTCTTGACAGTTTGATCATTTACTTGTACATGTTGATGAATCAATGATTGCATACAATTTTGTTGACATGATACTTTTTGCATAACCTCCTCCCATCAGCAAGAAGTGATGGTTCTAGCTTCAATAATGAAGAACTTGTGTTTTGTTTTGCTAGGGCTGGGCTGTTACACTTCTGTTTTGATGGTTGTATGCCTTGTGCTGACAGAATTTATCAAGTCTTGGGAATGGGATTCTCTTTCATAATGTAAAAATAACTGGTTTGATTTTGGAATTACAAATCATGGTGACAATTACTCCTCCTCATTGGTGTAGTACTACTAGTTGGCCCATTTGCTGGTGCTGCCTAATTGCTGTTGCAGAGGCTGTCAATGTTGACTCTGGCCTTGTAATTGCTATGCTCATCCTTGATGCTCCTCCCCAACTTTATGGAGAGGAACTGGCTGTATTTTTCATAGGACTCAAACTTTTCCAACAAGTTGGTGCATCATGCCTGTAATACTAGCCATCAATAGCCAAAGATGTCCATATCTATTGCTGTTGTTGGGTTCTTTTTAATGTCTGAATGACTGATCACTTTGAGTCTTAGGAGGACTTACGTTATTCTCTAACATTTTGGAACAACCAATGACAAATTTGACTCACAAGTATTTATTTGAGTCTAGGGAGCAATTTGGTTCTCTTAGATCTTGGAATACAGACCAATCATAAACATGACTGATTTTTTTGGTCTTGGGAGCAATTTGGTTCTCTTAAATACTTGAATGACTGATCATCACAATAATGACTGATCTTTTGGGGAGAAAATTGGTTCTCTTAAATATTGGAATGACTGATTGTAATGATAATGACTTTTTTTATTCCCGGGAGCAATTTGGTTCTCTCAGCAAATACTGGAATGACTGATTGTCATGATAATGACTGAATGTTTGAGTTAAAAATGAATAAGCTGTTTTTGGTCAAGGTACTACTAATTTATTTGCAAAAAATGGTGTACTGGGTTTTACATGGATTCTACACTAAAAATAAGTTTCTTTTTGTTTCTGCTGTAAGTCTAGGGCTGTGAAAATTTTTCAAGATTATTGGCTACTGTGCACTAAAGATAGTGGTAGTCCAGTGCATTGTAGCCAATTTTCAAAATGGAAATCCCTAGCGACCCCTTTTGACTTCTATATTCCAACAAGCGTAGAATCCTACCATGCCCTCCTACAGGGCAAAAATACATTCTACTCAAACACCAAAAATTATTACTAGCAAAATTGCAGGTTAATTTTGAAGCCCAGTATTTAGTACTGATCCTACATAGATCTAGTACTACTAGGAGTTTTTGGTCACTTTTTGACCGCAAACAGCGTAATAGGACATTTAGAACTGCTCTGGCATGGCCTGAGAGCAGCTGTTCTTCTTTGTGGAAAAGCTTCTTTCTAATAGTGTTGGGAACAGTACCCTGTGTCATTGTTACACAATTATAGGCCTGGGGGGAGCCAGTTCTCCATTAATAGCGGTCATGGCCAAAATTAGCCAGTGGAAATTGGCTGCTGGTCAGAAAATAGGCCAGAACTATTTCAAAAAACAACTCTAGAGCAGAAGACTAGTAAATGCCCAGTCCAAGTTGATATAATTACTTAAGATCCATGTCATTGGGAAGCCAAAGGATGCTCTAGCAGCTTAGAACTACTAGTAGTCAGCCAAAGTTGGTACAGTAGTGGTGGGTGGCTGAAAATCATTGATTCTAGCTAGGTGTAATTTTATATTGATTAAACACAGCATTTGGGGATTGCTCTGCTTTGGGGCTTGAGGCAGTGGAAGTGCATACAGAAGGTATGAACCAGGTTAGTAGTAAATTGGTATCTGTACCAGTAGTAGGTAGTATTTACCACTGTAGTACTTCAGCATCCCCCCCACCCCACCACAGTAATGTTTCATTATTTTTGTACTGCTGTACTGTACTCCTTCTTAAGCTCCCCCCCAGAGAGGGAGAGGTCAACCTGGCAATAAGCCTCTAGTTTGATAAGCCTCGTGACATGTGTCACCATCTGTCTCATTCCCATAACCCTTTCATGCTGATGCAGGCAACCACCAAACATGAAGTTTCTTGCTGAGTATCATAAACCATGTAAGCTGACATTGCTGTTACTTAATTGTTTTACATTGTTTCTAATACTTCAAGTTTCTACTGACTCTAGGACTAAAAAGACAAGTTTACCAGGTCTCTACAAAATCCACCCCCCAAACACCCTTCCTCTTCAAGAACCAATTACAGTCTTCAACTTCCATGATTACAGAAAATGTTCCTATTTTGTGGGTTGTTGTGTTTAGAATGAAATACAGTAACCCATGATTTTTTGTTACATCGTTATTAATACAGAAATAACCCAAAGAATATTACTGAAATAACACTGGAAATAAGACATACCCTCACCCTAATGACTTTTAAGCATGATTCCCAAAGAGGATTTGGTTGCTATGTGCCACTCATCAAAGGAAGCCGCTTGTTCAATATCTGTGCATCCCTGTTCTTCTGCTTATTCACTTTTGATTATTCTCTTCTTCCATTAACAGCTCCAGCACCGAGGAATATTAGTGTTTTCTTCATTCTTCTTATTGCAATGATTCTGTTTGACGATCCATTGGATTCAAAAGTCCGAGCTGATTCATTTGGCTGGCATAGTTTGGCCTTTGCCCTTTGAGAAGTGCACCATTTTGAAAGGATTACACGGACATGACGAAATGTTCTATTGCATTACAGTGTGAAAGATATCTTCATCGTTTTCTTCTCTTTCCTTTTTTGCCATTTCCAGACCGTGCAAAGCTTCTATCTTTTGATTTATTGAGCAACTTCGAAGCAATCTTCAAGTTACCACTGCCTCCCACACCCTTCATCTCAGAAGCACCATCTTTACCTTTTCTTTTGGCGTTGCCTCTATTATCGCGATTCTTCTTACCGGGCATGTTTCCTTTCAGCTCGTCCATGAATTTGTTAACATCTCCGGCATATTTCTGAGCTGTATCGACAGATTTAGCCTTTCTGTTGCCTCTGTCATCACTTCCGTCGAAGTCATCGTCGCTACTATCATCACCCAGTTCCACCACTGATGTTGTCACTGTCACTTGACCACCCCAGGTTGTTTCTGTTTTTTGGTCGTCGTAAATCTTTGTGTCGATGACGTCTTCTTTCTCGTCATCGTCCTTGTCGTTGCTGACGCTATCGTCATCTTCATCCGAAAGATCCTTTCCGTCGACACGGAAAGAATCCAGGACGTTCCTGTTCATTCTAGCAACGTCTTCCATCCACAGCTCCTTCTGTTTCTCTGCCTCTTCTACGCGTTCGAGGACGTCCTTTTTTTCAGAGGCTCGTTGCTCGATTTTGGACTTGCGATCCTTCACTTTTTGCATGGCCAAACCGTATGCTCTGCGTTGTCTTTTCCGTTCCGAAAATCCTCGAAGGTGTGATCTGCGAGCTTCCGGATCGAAGACAACCTCCCGCTTGTTCCCTTTTCTTATCATGGAGGCCGGCATTTTGTGCTTCAGCTTTTTTTGTTTGTCGGATTTGGCATTTCCCTTGTTTCTTTTGTTCTTAGAATTCGGCATTCTTTGTGGTGGTGTTTCCTTTTTGTTTCCGATGACTCTATTGGCTCTTGATTTATTAGTTCAGACTCGATACAATCTTTCTTTGTTGACTCGTCACCGTGAAAATACAGTTTCTTGTCTAAATGCTTTCCAAAACACTGGCGAAGAACCAATGTTCAAGGTCCAATACAAAGAAAGTAGAAGTAGTAATACTTCGTTCTCCTGGATTTTCTACTTTTTCGTTCCAATCGAGATCAAAGGAGACGACTTGGTAAAGAATGAATGGCTGCTTCGACGGATATTAGGGTTGGGGTTTTTTAAAAGAAAAATGGAATAGAAGGAAATCATGAATCTGCTTTGTGCTCGTACAAGTACTACGGTACGGTATCATGTACAATCTCACCAACTCTTCCACGAACAGACATGATCATTTGCATAGTAGCAAATCCCTAACACAACTGCTCCTGCCCAATATTAAAATGTCTGTTGCCTACATGTATGGTCTCGGTGACACAGCTTCCCTAATCCTCGGTTCCGAAGTAAAGATTTGAGAAACAGATCTCTTTTCCTACCAGTATTCAAAAAAGAGTTTTGGGATCTCGATCAGTGCATGTGAATTACAAATATGACACCATACATTCATGCTGAAATCCATATCTATGATTATCTGTATACTATCGTATGAACTTTGGTTTCTTGCAGTCTCGTAACTTGTTCTTCGACTTGTGTTAAGTTTCACAGCCTTCGGTCCCGCGGCTCCACCAATCTCTTCCAATCCCGCATCGAAAAGAATACTAAGATTTTGTGCTTACTTTCCGCGCACATCCTTCCTTTGTATGAAATATGATTTGTTGCGAATGATCGCAATTAAATGCCCGAAAAGAAATCGCTGTTCATGCTTTGCATCCGTGAAACTCCACTTTGCATGGCCGATAGTTTCGGTTTTGGAGGCTCCTTCTTTACTTCCACTGGTGCCACAGGAGCCACTACTGGGGCTACAATTGGTTTGGGTGCCGTGGCTGGAGCTGTGATCGCAGGCTTCTCTTCCATGTCATCAAAACCTGTCATTTTGTCGTCTACCGGAAGCTTGTTCAATCGCAATTTCACGCTACTGGTGGTACCGCCACTCGGCTTTTTTAGGAGCATCTTAGTATTCATTGTTTTCCCAACGGGTTTTCGGAGCATTCCCAGCGATCCAGTCTTCAAGGAAGTCGTAGGCTTCCGAAGAAGATTGCCGCTACTGGGCGGTGTGACCACCAACTTGCCCTTTGCTCCCGCTAGCTCCGAGGCTTTCTTGGCCGTTGGAACAGCCGGCGCAACTGGTTTCACGACAGCTGTTTGCGATACAGCGGCCGCCTTTTGCTGATCCTGAAGCGACAAGTTCTCGAGCAAGCCACCGGTGGAGGCAACTGCTCCCGATGCTGTTTCTTCCCCGCGTTTGGCGGCAGCAATGTCCAATTGTTTGTCCAATTCGGCCCGGTACGCCCGGGCGGCTTTTCCCGTATATTTTTTTTCTATCTTCCCGTGCATGTCTGTCAATCCGTGGCTCCGAAAGTACTTTCGTGCATTAGCATTTCCACCCAATCGCATGGCATCGATTTGCCGTTGCGTCCATTCATCCAAGTCTACGGATCGCACAAACGTGGTGTGGACCCCCATATTTCGATGGGTGGCCGAGCAGTCCAGGCACAAAAATACTCCTGCAAGTGTACCGTCACATGGAAGAATCGAAACAGTGTCAGCGGATTCGGTTTGGAAAGTGACTGCATGTTTGCTTTCCTGTATCCATACAACACAAATAAGTTGTTCCGGCACGTTTTCAAAAAGAGACGTATTGCACTCCACCTCGCTATCAAAAATGCGGATACAGCAGTGTTGAGTTTATAGATTCTTTTCACGCACCATAAGTCACAGACGCCCAAGTTGGACGAGGAGCCGGACAATCGAAGCAAACCTGGTTTGATTGAATGGCCTTGAGTTTCTTGAATTGCAGGTTTTTATCTTTCGTGGGAATGCAGACTTTGCCCTTTCCCGCCGCCGTGAAAGTCCCGTCGTTTCGGAGATTTCCTGAAGTGTTGTACGACATGGCGAAAGCTCTTTGTCAAGCAAAAATACGTCGCAAGTGGCACAAATGCAACTTTGTGTCTTCGATGCACCGTTTAGGTTCCGGTATGTCAATAACAAAGTTGTTGCGGATGTTGTGTATTTTTGAAGTACTGAATGATTTTTCGTGCCCCGGACAGTCATCACGACAAATTCGAACATCGGAATATTCAACAAAACGCACCGAAAAGCGTTTTTTTACTCGTACCGATACGAAGATGTCTCATGTACGTGAACTATTCGTAAACCGCACAGTACGTACGGTACCGTACTTGGTACCTACTGCAAGAGATTAATTCTGAACTAATATATCTACTACTGTACGGTACGTACGTACAGTGGGGGTAGTTTGCAGTCAAATGCAAAATGCAACCGACGAAGAATGTTTGGAAGTGCGGCACCGTATCGGCCGGTACCGTAATCTGTAGTACGTACGAGTACGTACTGTACGTAGTAAAAGTCGTGTGATTTATCCTCACGAGGGAGAATGCAGAAAGCTCCGTGGAACGTTAAGTAATCATAATGCCTTACTATCATATGCTTCATATATTCAACAATTATCTTCAAAGATTATGATGAGTCTCTTCAAAAGTTTTACGTCTAATGAACGGTGGTAAGGAAATTTAAACTATCATTTTTTGATCATGCACGCGCATGCTCGAAATTTAAAATAATTTTTTGACTGCGAATTTGACCGTTAACGAAACACGAAGTAGAAATAAGGAACAAAAGGCCAACTTAGCCCAACTCCGACAAACAACAACATCTTTCCGGTGTCTTCAAGACATCCCTACGGCACGAGTACAAACTCCCGTATCTCAGTTGAAACAGCATCATCACATGTATTGTGATCTTAGTGCGAAGATTACGGTAGTAATACAACACATGCAACAACCATTTGTATAGGTTTGGTTGAATTCTAGTACGATAGAAATTGATTGATAATTAGAGAAGAATAACAGGATGGACCAGTTGATTCCAATAGTTTCGAAACTCCAAGATGTCTTGGGTGCTGTTGGTCAGAATACCCAACTAGATCTCCCTCAAATCGTCGTGGTACGTTTTTATCTTGCGTACGGTTTGCATTGCTTAAGTGAGACTTGTTGTTGCAAATCTACGATCGACTCGATGCGGCGGATTACACAAACAACCGTGACTTCCAGAATGGGGCATGGCATAACACGTGCAGCAAGAGCCCTCATTCCTTTCTTTTCGAATCCGATTTCAAAAAAATGTGTGAATAGGTCGGCGGTCAATCTTCAGGAAAGTCTAGTGTATTGGAAGGCATCGTCGGACGAAGTTTCCTTCCCCGAGGAACCGGTATCGTTACCCGTCGACCTCTAATTTTAACCCTAGTGAACACCCGAACGCCCGGCAGCGAGCAACCTGAGGATGAAAATCGTGATCCAAATTCGAATGAAGACGGCGAGGGTGTGGAATGGGGAGAATTCGTCCATTGCCCCGGGCGTAGATTCCATTCCTTTCAGCAAATCCGGCAAGAAATTGTTCGCGAAACCGACCGACTGACGGGCAGCAACAAGGGTATTTCCAGCGACCCTATCAGTCTCAAAATCTTCTCCCCGTACGTCTTGGCCTTGACACTCGTAGATTTGCCGGGCATCACAAAGGTTCCCGTTGGCGATCAGCCTGAGAATATCGAAGAACAAATCCAAGAAATGATTTTGGAATTTATCAGCAACCCAAACGCAATCATCTTGGCTGTCACGGCCGCTAACACAGATGTGGCCAATAGTGACGCACTGCAAATGGCAAAGGCAGTCGATCCGTATGGCAATCGAACCATCGGTGTCCTCACGAAATTGGATTTGATGGATCCCGGAACGGATGCCGCGGATGTATTGTTGAATCGCGTTTATGCACTGCGAAGGGGATATATTGCTACCGTCAACCGAGGTCAAAAGGACATTAATGAAGATTTGAGCATTCGCTCGGGACTCCAAAAGGAAGAGGAGTTCTTCAACAACCACCCTGTGTATTCTACCGATCGAAACCTACGTGGAAAATGCGGAACAAAAATTCTGGCGAAGAGCCTCAACAACATTTTGATGCACCACATTCGAGACGTCTTGCCGGAGTTGAAAAACCGAATCACAATCATGATGGCAGATGTGCAGCAAGAACTCGATGCATTGGGTGGGCCTGGCCAACAATCTAGAAACACCCTAGGTGGAACCCTACTAGGATTGCTCAGTAAGTTTGCAAGCAACTTCGCCTCCATCATCGATGGTAAAGGAGGAGAACTGGGAAGTTCTGAAGCAAATACGAAAAATTTGGCACTTGTCGAGCTGTTCGGTGGTGCCCGTATTAATTATATTTTCAATGACATCTTTGCTACGAGTCTCATGACTGCTGGTCCTTTTGACGGATTATCCGACGAGGAGGTTCGCACTACTATTACAAATGCTATGGGTACACGCCGGGCTCTGTTCGTTCCCGAAATTGCTTTCGATATTTTGATCAGACGACAAATCGCTCGATTGGAGTCACCTGGTATTGAGTGTGTGGACTTGGTCTACGAAGAATTGCAACGCATTGCAGCGCAGTCGGAACCGAAGGAATTGACTCGATTCCCTTTTTTGAGAGAGCGATTGTGTGATACTKTGTCGACTCTGTTGAAACGATGCATGGCTCCGACCCAAATGATGGTTGAAAATCTGGTCAAGGTTGAATTGGCGGTGAGTTTCAATAGATGCTTTTGAAATACGGAGAAAGTCATGCCAGTTCCTTGTCATTCATTTTCTCGTGGTCACTGATTCATTTCATTTTGTTCATTTATTTGGCAGTACATCAATACCAGCCATCCTGATTTCATTGGCGGAGCAAGGGCCGTAGCTTCTGTCACAAATCGTGCTGCAAATATGGAGCCGATGAGAAATCAAGAACTCCATATTCATACAGGATCAACCGGGGTCCCAGAAACACCTGCCTCTCAAGCAGATTCGCAGTATTTCAATGCCGATGCAAGCAATGGAGGAGAGCAAACACCGTACCATGATAAAGATGGTGGTATAATGAATTTTATTTTCCGAGGGAAGCCGACTCCAATTGCTGACGGTAGATCTCATTCTGGATCACTACCCGCTGTCGTTCACCTCCCATCGGTTCCGGCGAATATGAAACAGACCGATATTCCGCCTTCGGATCGTGAACTTTCTGAAATGCATGTGATCAAGTCTCTAATTGAATCATACTTTAAGGTTGTTCGAAAGACCTTCATTGATATGGTTCCAAAGACAATCATGTTCTTTTTGGTAAACCATGTCAAAGATGCAATGCAGAATGAATTAGTATCGGAACTCTACCGGGAATCAGAGGTCGAAACTCTGATGAAAGAAGCTGATGATGTCGCAGAAAGACGTGAACAGAGCGAAGAAATGAGAGATCTATTAGGAAAGGCGCTTGAAATCGTCAACGAAGCTCGAGATTTCAATACAATAAGCCAAGTGGAGTGATTCACATTTCTAGTGGTATTAGAACTCAAAGTTGAAAAAAAATCTGCCTTGAGGTAGACTTTGTTGTCGTTTAAAATTCTGGAACCAGGGGAAATGACGAATGGATTAAAAAAATTCTTGATATTTACTTATTTAACCTCGTGAACTAGTAGTAGAGGCATTAGGTGGGCCAGGACCATATTTCCGAGGAGAAGAATGTTTCTAGTTGCTCTGAGGGGCGGAACTGGTGAAGGGTTTGGGCTGGTTGTGAAAAATTGTGCCATAGGAGTTTGTAGTAGCAGAGACCACCAAAGAATTCTCTGGCAAAGTGGACGGTTTATGTTGTATCTTCTTGGAGCATGTGTCAAAGACCAGCCCGCCTTGTGCAATGCTCTCTGGCAGCAGGACTGCTCTTAGGAGAAGTACCAATCATATGGGACAAACTTGTACTAGCAGCAGAAGTACTACTAGTAGTATCCAAGTTCACATGTTGACATCCAAGTTCTTGGTACCAGTAGTACTGCTAGCACTAGGAGTCTCAGTCCTGCATTTTGATCAACATTACTAGTAGTAGTAGTAGTAGTAGTAGTAGTAGTAGTAGTAGTAGTAGTAGTAGTAGTAGTAGTAGTAGTAGTAGTAGTAGTAGCAGCAGTAGTAGTAGTAGTAGTAGTAGTAGTAGAAGTAGTAGTAGTAGTAGTAGTAGTAGTAGTAGTAGTAGCAGCAGTAGCAGCAGTAGTAGTAGCAGTAGTAGTAGTAGTAGCAGCAGTAGTAGTAGCAGTAGTAGTAGTAGTAGCAGCAGTAGTAGTAGCAGTAGCAGTAGCAGTAGCAGTAGCAGTAGCAGTAGCAGTAGCAGTAGCAGTAGCAGTAGTACTGGGAAAGGCATGACAGTGCATGCTGGTGGTACCTCGTCATAGCTAGTGGTATCATACTAGTACCATAATAGTATTACATACTAGCAAATACCCACTCTGTTTCAAAGTACTTTTCCTTCATAGCACTAGTACTGACAGGCCTATGAAATGCAATAGAAGAACCCTTGAACTTGTTTTTCACCCTACTAGTACTAGTACCACAAGAAAGTAGTAGTACCACCATTTATGTAAAGCAAGTACCAGTACTAGTAGTAGCTGATAGCTTCATTTTTGGCAGTTGGGTACTCATACCTACTGATATTCAAAAATGGAATTGATGATTTATTACAGCTAAAACTAGTACTAGTAGTTAGCTCTGTTGTGGTGATCACCTGCTACTATCAGGATGAGGATGAATGCTTGTGTGAGAAGTTCAAGAATGCTTGTGAGATTGGTGGTTATATGCCCTGGTGGTACACCAAATATAGCTGAAGTACACTGGTGTGTGTTGCCAAATACTACTACTACTACTGGTACTAGTAGGACTAGTATCATTAAACCATTAAATATCTGGTCCAATTCTCATGTAAAAAATATGGGACATTCCACAACTAAAAGAGAAGATATGAGCAACATTTTTCATGGAACGTATTGATGATTCAACTAACATTCTTTACAAGCACTACTACTACTACTACTACTACTACTACTACTCATTGTTATTATTACAAGCTTCAAGACATAGTTGCATTTGAAAATATGATGTCTACCCTTCAAATATCATCAATTTTCTTTTAACAAAGAAAGACAAAATTGTGTGAACTCTTGATTTTTGGCTCTTCTTGCACTATGGTTGCAAACAGCACCCCTTCTGATAAAATTATCAACAAGACCCCAGGCATCTTTATTTCCTCCTCCAATTCCTGCACAGTTTTTCTTGAGCTTTGGATAAAATTGTAGTTTCAGAAATGTTTGTACTGGTGACAAGGGTCTTCTTGACATTGTCAACCATGTGCTCAATCATCTCAATATCAGGCTCTTTATGACCATCTTGTACAAGACGAATTCCATACTACCCATCATGTTCATACTAGTACTAGCACTACTAGGCAGGCTTCATGGTATCCAAAATTACACCACCAACAAGGACCTAGTATTCAAGCTAGTCACTAACACATTTTCAATTTATGATCACTTGAAGCATTGAGTTTCTTGTCCTTGATGTCAACCAAGGTCTCTGTAATGGGAGCCAACTCTGTGTCAGTGCACAATTAGAAATACAAAATTAAAATATGAGTATGGTGAGCATATGGTTCTTGTTCAGAATAAGAATAAACTTTGAGGAACATCCCTGATACTTGTACATCTTTCAGTTAAATAAATTGGACTACACAAGAACAAGTCCAATCCTCCTTGTATTTTCCAACTCTGAAGAAATGACTGCCTAATAGTCTCAAATTTCAACTAAAATTCCTTTCAACATTGCTGTTGTGTTTTTGACAAAGATTTCAATTCAAAGACATATCAAAAAGAAAAAGATGTTGACCTTAGTAGAAATTCAACTCTACAGGAGTAAACTGTACTGCAATGCAACTCCAAAGAAGCAAACTGCAGAACATTGATTTGGGAATAAGGGTAGTACGGATGTAGTATGATTTGTATTTTCAGTAGTGACTACTACTATTTAGTCAATATTATTATTATTAGTGGTAGTACCCTTGTCTTTAATCTTTGTTGCAATCAACATTCTTCCTCCAAAACTGAAACTTTTCTCTGCTACTAATGGTGTTAGTTTCTGCTGGTTGTGTGAGATTATCAGCATTGGATTGTTTTGACTCCTCTTTTTGATGTTCAGAAGAGGGACTGTGGACCCAACACTTAGTACCAAAAACATTGGTGTACTTTTCTACATTTGCTACACCTACATCAACTAATATTACTAGGACCCCTACTCCCCCAATATATCTTTCTTCTTGATCCATGTGTATATCACAATTGCTGTTGGAGAACAAGATATTTCATTGAGTTGACCCAAACCATACTAGTAGTTGATTTTGTAATACTATCAATTAGCAGGGGATCGCAGATTTTTGACTATCATTTTGCTGTGGCATGATGCATACTTTTTTATCCACATAGTGGGTTTTTAACTTGTTCCTGTCTCTGCCCAAATCATGCATTTTTGGATTTTTTTTGAGTTTCCATGATTTTCACCTGTGTAAACTGCAGTGCAAATCCTACACAAAATAAGACTGGAGAGCGCCCAATTCCAGGTCTGATCAGTCCCGTTTGACTAAACTCAACACTTATGCGCAATGTGAACGCGCGCGCCACCTCATTTTTCCTATCAAATAGACATAATCTMCTTAAGGGGCATAGCCTCTTTCTATTTGTGTGGGAGACGCACAATAATAAAAATAATGTAACCTCACCGATAATAAAATTTTATTATGCTGATAATAAAATTTTATTATTGTTTTATTAAGCTGTTAATAAAATTTTATTATTGTTTTATTAAGCTGTTAATAAAATTTTATTATTGTTTTATTATGCTGGTAATAAAATTTTATTAATGGATGTTTTTTAATGCTTCATCGTGGAATGGTCTACTAATTGTACGTAAGTACACATTTTCATTAAGTCCATAATAAAATATTATTAACGTTTTATTAAATCAATAATAAAATTTTAATAACGTTTTATTAAAGCAATAATAAATTTTTATTAACTTATTAATAAAAATGACTTCGCCGAGAATAATATTTTATGTATTGGGAAACTCCAAAGAATACGGCCTTGATAACCCCCATCCTAAAGAACCATTTGATTGAAGAAATGACCATTATTTTGAAGGAACTCGGTTAAAAAATTGTGTGCAATCGCGCGGAAACTGAAAATTCTTCATCAAAAAGAGTTTTAAACAATTACTTTGTAAAAAGCACCTTTTCTGCTCATTCATTTCTCTCCTTGTAATATCTAAGCAAGAAAATTTAAAACACTCCAAATCAGAATAGAAACTATCACCCAAACCATCATATTTACCAACATAAAATACTAATCATATCACCAGCACAATGGATTATGATGATTTTTTTCTGATGGTTGCTGGCAATTGTTCATACTATGGTCATACTACCAATACTAGTGATGCAGACCTATCTGACAACCGTGGTGGTGGCCTGCACCCTCACATAAGGAGCCCCTCCCAAGATGACAGCAGTTTTTTCAGTGGTGATACTACTAGTAGTAACAGTTCTCTTGGAACAAGTCTTTCTGATGATGCCCCCCCCTACTACTAGTACTACTACAACAATGCTCCCTTTGACAACAAAATTCAAGAACTCCTCCTTGACCGTAACCTCTCTGATTCATCTGATCTGGAGTACCTTTGTATTTTCTTCTGTTTGCTTGATAGAGTGGTACACTCCTGCTACATAATTGTCACTAGCCTAGCATGTGACGAGTTATGAAGGAATGGAAGAAATACAAATCAAAACACAACAGTACTAGGAAATAGTTTCAATCTCATCTTGGCATTGCATTGATGAATAGAGGTATTGAAATGGACTGGAAAGCTCCATAATGAAGCTTCTAAGCCAGAGTGGATGCCAAGGACTTCAAAGAATGAAAAAAAGCACTCTTGTAATTGAGGGATTTGTTTCTTCTGTGTGAGCAAAATTACCAGCACCACCTTTGCTCATGGAAAGGTAACTTGAAAGCCACATAAAGAAAGATGCAGTGGCAAGTATGAAGGAGTGAAGAGGAACTATTGTGTTGTCTGTGTAGAAGAAGCAAAGCATGGTAGGTATCCTAACTCATCAGTGAGGAGATTGAGGAAGCAAGTTACCAGGAATTAGTATGAAAATGTCAAGGAATGGTTGCAGAAGTTGCAATGTTGCTGTATGTAAAGAGCATTGGAGTAACTTCAACCATGAGGTGTTGTGATGTGTTATAAATGAATAATTAGTAAATTTATATTTATGTTTATGTTTGTTAAAATAAAATCCTATGACATTGTTTACAGTGATGAGAGAGTTGCAATAAGTAGAGTAGTAGTAGTAGTAGTAGTAGTAGTAGTAGTAGTAGTAGTAGTAGTAGTAGTAGTAGTAGTAGTAGTAGTAGTAGTAGTAGTAGTAGTAGTAGNTAGTAGTAGTAGTAGTAGTAGTAGTAGTAGTAGTAGTAGTAGTAGTAGTAGTAGTAGTAGTAGTAGTAGTAGTAGTAGTAGTAGTAGTAGTAGTATTAGTATTAGTAGTAGTAGTAGCAGCAGCAGCACCAGGGAAAATAACATCTGTTT